TATTTTGTATTTTATTTGAGATTTGAATTTGTGTGTTGGCAGATTGTCTTTATGGCTCACTCATTAGCACAGTACAGCTATTAAATGGCAGGTCTAGGCGTGAGTCATTAGAGGACTTCCACATTAAATTTTACGACACTTTTGACAGCTCAGTAAAATGGGGTGCGGTCTGTTGGCTCAAAGTGAAAATTTGGTAAAGATTCACTATGGGGTGAAGAAAAAGCCAGCAAGCAATACCACTGAAAGATTAATGTTCAACTACAGCAGAGATGTGTGACACAGGGTTGGCCTGCCAAGATCAGTGTAACGCAAAACTGTTTCATGTCGGCTCTGAAAACTACGTTTGGCAGAAAAAAAGAGCTTACAAGCTATGCTAAAAAGAGCTGAAGCTCTTCAGATTGAAGGGTTTTAATATCAGGACAACACACACAAAGCAAAGGCTGCCCTGTCATTATTTATTAAACAAAAACAAAGCCAGAAGGAAAAGCCATAATAGCCACCTATAGCAGCAATGACTTAAGTAAGTGGATTTCTGTACAGAAAACCACGTATTTAGGATAACTCTTCCAAATTGTGGTGGAGGAGTTTGGACCCACTCTTGTTTGTGCACAGCTCACTTACGATCCCACTTCAGGATTTCAATCGGGTTAAGGCTGTTATGCTTGAAATAACTATCCAGCTGCATGACCAAAGTTCAACTGTCACACAGATGGCTTTGCAGGTGACATTAGGAAACTTAAATCTATCCATTCTGGTATTGCGTGGCATACCTGATCAGCAATCTAACAAAACTCATGCGTTTATCAAAATCCTCTCTCCTGACGAGTGAGCATTTAATTAATCAGGTGCATTTAACTATTACTAACTAACTGCTGCTTTTCATTTGAAACCCCAGTGAAAGTAGTTAGGGTGTACATAGTTTTTCCAAACAAATTGTTTACATTTTGGCTACTTTTCTTTGTTTATTAAATTACATTGTGGAATCTGATTGAGAAACAAAAAAAAATTCAGAAAAATTCAATTTACAACTGGTAAGTGAGTCCGGCAAGGAGTAGGGAGGGAGGACACTTTTGATATAGCCACAAACTTCATTGTATTTTACTGATTGTTTTGGCACACCAATACAATGTAGCGCATTGACCAATATCCATGCGCTCCAACAATCTGGTATTTATGGAAGAGTTTTAGAACAATTTAAGAACGAAAGCCAGAAGAAGATGATCTGGTCATATAAGACCAAAAATATTCCTGGTCTAGTGGAAATTAACTCTACAGACTATCCAAAATACACCATCACCATGGCGAAAGATGCTCTTGATGTAGATATAAGAAACTGTGGGGAAAAGGAAGCTGGTCAAAGTGAATGGGAAGATTAGTAGAGCTAAACCAGGGTTGACCAGTCAGTTACCCCTGGATAATAACCTGCTTTTGTTCAATAACGGCCCAGTCAAACCAAAATCCAAAATAGAAGAAAAGTGACAAAACCTGAAAGGTGTATTTCACAGATGCTCTCCATCAAATCTGATTGATTGCGAAGGTTAAACTGGGGGAAAAAATGCAGTTACTAGAAGTTAGGAGAGGTCTACTTCATGTTAATCCACCAAAAGAGAGAGGATATAAGTATGACGCACAATTCATAAATAAAGTGGTAGATATCACCTCTTCATGGTTTAAGCGATCAAAAAAATAGTGTTTAATAGTTACCCCATTGCAAAATAAGGATTATGCCCAGGTTCTCTTGTTAGCCCCACCAAAAGAAATAATCCTTTTCTATTAAGCCTCTCTAAGGTCTTAATTTAAAAACAGCTAGAGGCCAACAAAAGATTAATTATACATAATTTTAATGTAGAAAATGTTCTGCCCCCCACCAAAATAAAGAGCAAATTTCCTTTACAGGTCAAACCCTTTTCTGTAGAACAGACCACAAAATCCACCTCAACACCTTAATCGAGCCACTATTATAGCTAAAAGTGCCACAATTACTCAGAAATGTCAAATTTCGTTGACCGTACCCATAAAATTTAATTCCTTTAGTACGTTTTGCCAAACACTTTTGTGTTTTAAAATGAATAAATGTCTGCTAGCTTTAGACAGCTTATACAGTGCTGTTCCAGTGTGTAAAAAAGGAATCTAAATGCTTCTGGTATTGGTTTATACTTTAAAATAAAATAATGAAAGTCAAAATCTTGCCTAATCATCTACAACTTAAACTATTTGAAAATTAGGAGAATAATTTGACATTGCATTAATGCAATAAGCAGATTTCCATCATATCAAATACATTATTCCCCACATCACAATTTTCTATATGTAATCCTGAGCAGCTGAACAGCTTAAGCGACAATCAGTTCAAACGGGAATTTCAAAGCCTGTTGATTATAAGTTCTGCATGTCTCTGGCCTAAGCAGCTCCACAAAAATCATTTTGTTTCTCAAAATACGTCTTGGCATTTCGTAGTAGTTAAATGTTCAAATGTCCCGACATCAGTCAAAAAAATTGAATTAAAAAGTCCACAATCAGTCTAAACGTGTTGTTTTTTCTCTCTCTGTACTTTCCTCTCCCATAATTCACTTGTCAGCTTTCTTTACCGAGACTAAAGCTTTTATTCAGTCATACAGTTCTACAGTTCAAACTGAAACTTGTCTGGAGTCTTGCAAAGTCACATTGGCTTACATCCCGGTTAGAGACCAAACCGTACCTTGGATTTCAACTCTGTTTTCCCTAATTATGTCTGAGAAAGACATAATTAACAAAGCAGGTTGAAAAAGTAGCTGCAGAGAAAGTTTATGGATGCAATGATTAAGGATACAATATTAATGTGAACGCATTAAGCCATTAAAGGGATCCCACAGGGCTCGATTCTTGGGCCTTTGCTAAGTTTTTGTAAGCTCTGGCTCTCAGTTCCATTCCTTAAGCTCTGCAACAAAACAATTGGGTCAAATACCTGCAAAGACAAACCCCACTCTGGTTTATAGCCATGTAATCAATCGCAAATCAAGCCAGTGTGTCCTACACATGCGAGCTTTCAAAGAACTGGCAGAAACATGGAGTGAAAGTGAGCATACACCACTCTACATACACATTTTTCTGTTTCATACGTTTTATTTGTACTCCTTTATTTGCCATTTTTGAATTCGCTTTATTAAAAAGAAGCTGGTTGTGCTCGATGGAGGACAGACGGAGTGAGAGAGAGGCAGACAATTTGCTGTGGTCACTGCACAAAAGGGAACAGCCAACAAACATTAGACAAAGCATTTTCCTTGCAGGACTAAAGAGTGAGAACACCAACAGACGTAGTCTTGCGCCGTTTAGATTCGACTGATCTCACAAAAAGCTCTTGGGTTGCATCTCGGTTTTAGTCCGGAAAGAAAACGAAGTGATCAAAAGGAATAACTCCATACATCACTTTCTGCGCTCGGTGCCGAGAATCAGCCGAGGCCCCCGGGAGGTTTTATCTGTCATGTCTCATAACAGCACAACCCGTTTATATAAGCTCACTGGCAGAACAGACAAACTAAAAATGTGGGCTAATTGCTCTGGCATTTATGAAGCCTCTTCATTCACCTGAGCAAAGAGAGCTAAATCAGCATCCAGCTACTCCGGCTTTTGTTCAGTGGATTCACAATAGCTCGTTAAAGGCTCTACCAGGTGAGAGCACACCACACTCTGAAAATGCCTCAAACAAAAACAAAACATTAGCGTCACTTCAAATTCCACCCTAAAATACAGAGTCTATTTGTTTTCCATAATAATGCAGTTTTAAGAAAACTGATAATTAACATGAGGTACATATTTTGTATTTTTATTTTCATTTCTCCAAATTGAACTGAACATGTATTGATGGTTTTCGGGCCTCAATGAATGCGGTTGATTTACCTCGGAACAAGTTTGAGGTTTTTTATTAACCAAATGAGCCGTAATGTTTTCAAATATGTGTATTTCCAAAGTTTCCTGTACAAGGTCTTGTTTTTAATGTGTCTCATCAAAACATTGGTGGGATGTTGTAACTCAAGTCTCCACCCATTATTCACAATTCGAGAAAGTTATTGATGGAACCACGAGTTTCATCTCCCGATCATTACAGGACAATGACCTGAAGCACACCAGCACGTCTGCCTCTGAATTACTTTTAGTTTCTCTTAATTACATCATTTGATAACCGTTTTGTGTTTATCAATGTTACATTTAAAGTTTCTTTAAGGATGTGAAACATTTAAGAGTGACAGAAGCCAAAAACAAGAAGAAATCTGAAAGGGAGCAAATACTTTTTTTCTTTTTCACCACTCTGAGTCTCTGACACACAACATTTTTGTCTAATTTCATTTGTGAAGGAAACGAATGAATCATTTCCCTTCCACTTCACCATTTTTATTTTGGTCTACCATATAAAAACCTCAATAAAACACGCTGAGGTATGTGGTTGGAGAGGGACAAAATGCGAAAAAGTTCAATACTTCTATACAAACCACTGTATGCACCATAAAGTTTCAATCCCACGTGAACGTGCACCGCCTATCCACGTCAATACTTTCCCACCAGCAGCCCACACACCCACCCATCCACCCCCACTACATCAAGCAGAGACACATTAAAACTGGAAACACGCCATGCATCCCTTCAGGTGATCAAAACATCAGTCAGAGAAGCTAGGGTCCCAGTAGTTGACCTTGTTGCACTCCTTTTTTTTTTTTTTTCCCGGGGATCCAGGGGTACTATTATTGCTTTCTCTTGTGCTGGTGCTGGAAGTGGCAGCAGAGGGTAGGTGGGGGGTGTGAAGGGGGTAGATTGATAACAAACGCATTCAACTCCCGATTGTGCAACAATTCTGCTCCCTGGGAATCTGCTCCATCATCCTGTATATTATCTGCCCGTGCAATCACTGTTTAGGAAAATACACAAAACTGGCCGCGCAACCCTTATCCTGGCGAATAAAGCAAACAAATAAATAAATAAAACAGCATAGCCAAGAGGGAAGGTAATGTGGAGCAGTCGCTACTTACCCGAACGTAGGTTTATGTGGCTCCACTACCTCTCCTTGTTTTCGCAGGCGTCAGGGAAAAAAATAAATAAACACCTTATTTATGCCGAAAGGTAACCCTCATCCGACTGATTTACCCACGCAGCTCCGGTAAAGGGAATTAGCTCAGATATCACCGATGTTTCGCAGCTCCACTCGAGAGACAGCCTCAGCTGAAAAGAGCCAGCAACTGAGTTCCCGTAAGAGAAAAGAGAAGAGAAGGCAACACTCCTTTTTTTCCCCTCCTCTCTCTCTCTTTCTCCCTCTTCCCCTCCGAGCCGAGCAGAGCTGGTGTTTCCCCCCCTTCACACGTTATCCCGTCCACTCTTCCGACAAAAACCTTTAAAGAGTTCCAGTTTCGGAGGAGGTCGGCACACGTCGCTTCATATCCGCCACTTAGCATTAACACGCAGCTTTCAGTTTGCGCACCAGCTACTGAACAACAACTAGCAGCAGCGGCGGTACAACGCGGCTGGCTGACAGACTGGGTGGGCTGAGTCCCCCTTCCTGCCGCGCGAAGCCCAGAAATCCACAGAAAAGATCTTCACGCGCTTCTTTTAAAACATAAGTGGCAAGCGAGTTTCATATTGCAACAACCAGAACATCAACATCCTACTTTTTTTTTTTTTTTTTTTTTCGTGCTGAAGCATGTGATGGCAACATGGTGTGTGTTTTTAAAGGGGAATCGCAGGCGGGTGGGTGTATCATCGGACCCTATAGATGTCCCTCTTTAGTTCCTGGGAAGGATGCGCCGTGCCAATAATTGGAAATGTTTTTGTTTTTTGGTGTGTGTGTATGTGTGTGTGTGAGGAAGCTCAGCGGCATCAGCGTGCCTCAAACAGAAATGAAAGCCAACTTTACATCAGCTTAGACCCGAAAACCTACAAGCCTAGGGGTCCCCGGTGAGCCTATTCAGGGTAGATCAGTGCACCAGATCCAAACAGGTGCGGGTAATATAAATAGTTATTTTTTTCCCCCAATATTTCAATTCAGAGAGGGGAACTAGAAAACAGAGCAATATGGAAAAAAAAAATTCAGTCATAGAGACCAAATGTGAGGTTTTAGAAATGACTGATATCCTCCATGACTTGAAATCACAAAAGGTCAATATTAAATAACTTGGATGATTACACGATTTTCTCACAAGTCAGAGCTTGGATCTGGGAATTACATCAAGCCCAACTTCAGTGCATTTTTGCTGCAAACCAGTGCGATCGATAACAATAGATTTCCGAGCGTTTTATGGGTTTCGACACTAAAGGAACTCATTAACAAATAAACTTCAGCATACCATGTGAGCGCCTGGTTTACCGCCAGCAGTGCTAACAGATAGCTTATCACTACAACTTTCACTATGACTTATGCGTGTAGCAAAGTAAGTTATACATTATTACTCACTTTCTTGCTTTGTGTCAAGGCACAAAGTAAGAAAACTATAGAGGCCTATATTTAAATGAGTGCAACTGTGAGAAACCGCACTTGTTTTTACATGACATTTTTATCAGCTGTATAAATTAAGATGCAGTCTTTAAAATCAATCTACGATTTGTCTTTTGAATTTGCAACTGTGATTCATATTGCATGGACATATGGTATATAAATATGACAGCTTATGAGAATTTGTCTTGGTGAAATTAAAATAAATCATATATTTCATTTATGTCTTTTCTGTAACTCTGTCACAATCCTAATTAACATCAGCAGTGAGCTATTTACTGGCCTCCACAAAGGTAAGAAATAATCACAAGAGTCAAAGACATATTTTATTTTCATTAATCGGTTATTAAAAATGTAATTCTTCCATCAATCAGTGACTTCTTGTACAGTGGCTGAATAGCAAACTTTGTATATAATAATTGCTTTCCAGATTAGCATTTTAATTAAAGTGTGCGTGGCAGTAAAGCAGTTTCAGACCAAATTAAATATTTCAATAGATATTTAGAAAATGTCACGTGTTCCTGATTAGCAATGTAAAAAGAGGTACATGTTTCCCATTTGTCAGTAAATGTTTAAGTTGGAGAAAATGAAAAAAAAAATTGAATAGAGTCAAGGAATTACCAAATTTTAGGATGTTATTTTGCTAATTTAGCTTGTTAGCATTGCCAAATTGATCATCTGGATTTTGAATCTTTTTGCCTAAACGCACAAAACTCTGAACATTTTCTCTGTGTTTCAATTTTTACATTAACACCAAATGAGTTTTTGATTGCAACAATTTGTGCAGCCACCTTGTGGCTGTTTGCATTTCCGTCAATACGTCATTTGGTTAAAAAAAAAAAAAGACACTAAAGCATGATGCAAAATAACAGATACTTTAGCTTATCATTGTAGTAGCAAGTTTTTATAACAGTCCCATTGTTTAAATCTGTGTTCAGCAGTTGCTAGATGGTGGTAAAATGATTACAACTTCCTCCACTGTCCAGGCTCATTGTGCAACACACAGATCACCAACTTGCTGCCAGTGTGGAGCTTTTCCTTAGTTACAGGAGCTCTCTGGGATTCACAATCAAGCTGAATCAGGATGCAGGGCTTAGTTAAAGAAAATGAAGACTTAACAAGACAGTACCAAATGCAAAAAGAGACAAGCTGGAACATGACCTGGTCCTGAGCCAACACCAAGGGTCCAGAAGCCCTTGTCCCATTAAAGTGCTTCCGCCGTTTGTTCACAACAGCACACACAAGGGAACGTGCGGTAAAACTGCCATTCTCTTTTATTCAGTAAAACTTACAAGCTTACATGATAACTTATTGTCTGTTCAAGCTATTATATTGTGGTGTGGAAGTGTGTGTTGTATTCCTATAGGAAGCAAAGAATGCTTCATGTTTCCACTTAGAATAAATTGGTTCTTTCAGTTTACAAGTTTAGGAAGAATTACCTGCTTCCATTAAGCTGAATCCATCCATTTCTAATACCTGCTTTATCCAGGCAGACTGATAGAGGGACTAGTTTCTATCCCAAATGGTCAATGGGTGGGAGGTGGGATACAACCAGAACAGGTGGCATCTGTGAAAAACATGTTCACTCTTTGATAGGTTAAAAGTATAACATATGTAGGGGATGTTTTGTCATGTAAAGTATTATGTGTCACTTTTACGAGAAATGTCAAGCGGTCAAGGTAGTATAAAACGTCAAATGCTACAAACAAGTTTTTTTTTAAGACCAGTCAGTTGAAAAAACATGTCACTCTCTAAAGTCAGACATTGGTCTCTAGATGAAGTGTTGAAAAGCTCAGAGGTAAGACTTTAATTACTCCCAGCCTTCTGGTGTTTCCGACTGCCTCTTGTTTCCCTGCCTTCATAATCAACACAGCCAATCACCAACCTAGACTCCTGCCCTCTTTGAGATAACAAGGTTGTGACGAAATTAATTTCATGACTTTGCTTCTCGCAGGAAAGATATTTCGTCGCCTTGTTTCTTTGAGAAGAGCACAGAAGAAAAAGAGAGATTTTGTTGGATCCGGCACACTTTGAGCAATGTCTGACCTTTCTGTTGACCTCCAGGGCCTGAGAATGTTTGTTTCATGCGTAGGACTTGTAGGTAACATCTTCCTCATCCTTTCCATCTTCCAGACCAGAGTGTCCAACATTAAATCCTTTGAGCTTTTTCTGCTGGGACTCGCTTCAGTCAACCTAGAGGAAATTGTCATCTTAAACGTCTATGATGTTATCATACTTGACACTGTTTCCACCACTACTGGTGCCTGGTGGTGTCACTTGCTAAAGTTCATGACTACCTTTGGTGAAATAGCCAGCATCCTCTTCACCGTCATCATCTGCATCTTCCGCTACCAGAAGCTGAGAGACGTCGACCACAGGGGCAGCCTCCCGATTTGCCTGGACAGCATCGCATCTGCGTGGATGTTGAGTGGAGTTTGCGTGACGCTCTCCACCCTCCTCAGTCTCCCGATGTTTGCCGTTACCTTTCAAGGATCCGTGGAAAACGTGACGGAAAACAGAGGGGGCTGCCCTACCGATTTCTTTCAGTGTGGTGAGAATTACTGTCCTATCTTCAACCGTGTGTACAAATACCTCATCATGCTGCTGTGCCACCTGCTGCCCTTGATCATCGTCACGGTCACCAGCTGCTTGACCATTGTGGTGCTCCTGGGCCGAACAAATACAGTGACACTGGCCAATGATATCATATCCCCCAATCACCACCATGGGAAGAGTCACAGTCTCTTTCGAAGCACGGTGGCCGTGGTGGCAGCCATGGGATTGTTTCAGGTAGACTGGACTCTCTACCTAATCCTTCAGTGGACTTTTAGCCCAAGTGACTGTCCTATTTGGACTGAAATTGAGTTCTTTATCTCAGCTTCCTACATGTCTATTAGTCCATATGTGTATGGCATAGGGGGGCACTTGTTTTCTCTTGAGAACTGCAAACATTTGCTTAAGCGTTAAATATGGTTTGCTCTGCAGTGCTTAATCGTTGCTGAGCTCTTCTTTTTTATTATTATTATGAAATGGCAGTCAGCAAATTAGTATTTGCAGCAGCTCAGTAAAAGCTTTAACCTTCAACTTTGAACCATTAATCCAATAAGTGGATAATGAGATAGATTTACATTTACTGCCGAATTATGCCGCTGCTTAAGGAAAATATTTTCTCTGATTTGCTAGAAAGATTCCGGCCCCTATGTAGTGTATTAAATTTAGTCTAAAGCAGCCTTTCCAAACAGCTCAGCAGGTGGATGCGGTGCAGTTTACCTTAAATGAACTGTGTCTGCCTCTCGCTGGAAGATGCTAACTCAAACAGTGCCTGCTCTTTTAATGCAGCGCTCAATACGGTGCAGAGGCTTTCAGTGCTGTGAACAGAACATTGTGACCTTAGCGTAAATGGAGAGAAGCAAATCCTTACATACAAAGACCCAACATCAAACAGCTGGAGACAGCTTGGATGTTTCTGCGCATTACTGATTCTTCAGTGCAAATAGCTATAATGTTTTCATCTAACGGTTCCCTGAAAGCATCAGAGATTAGACTCATTTTGGTGAAATTTGCTCCACATAAATGTCCCAGCGGCCCAGTTAACCTGGTCGAAACTTTGCTAATGCAAGTCACACCTAAACCCAGATATGAAGACATTATCAATGTTTATTCTGTACTGTTGTGTAATCCACTGTATATTAAACATGTACCAATGACTAAAAATGCAACTTGTGTTTGAATTTGGTGACTGGATATACATGCATTGAACTAAATCTTTGTAAGCCTGTTCAGCACCTTTACTCCCAGAATCACAAAGCTTTGTGTATATATATGTATATAAACATGGGTGCTTTGTGATATCAGTAATTTGCAGTACATTTTTCTGTCTTTAACTAAAACAAGAGGTATTATGCAAAATAGACGTTTTGAATTTTATATAATGTTATTCCCTCATCAAAAACATCCTAGAGTCTTGCATTTCCAGGGACAACCATTTGGTGGTTTGGAGATGCAGCTTCCCCACTCAACTCCTTCAGACTAGCAGCAGCAATAGCAAACACCTAGTGGAACTGCGCGTCTGCTGAGCTCATTATACAAACTACTTTTCAGTCCAACGCTCCGAACAAATGACACAATGAGAAGCATTGTTGTTGTGATGAGTGTCTGAAAGAACAGGAGATTCTTAAAGACACAGAGGCCCAATTTCAAGGCGTTAAATTGCGAAGTCAAATTTCTGTTAAGCTATGCTTGATATACAGCATTTTTATAATAACTGAAGATGACAGTTATTTGATTGTGTTATAAAATTTAACAATGTGTCTGGAAAATACACAATATCCCCCCTTTAATTTCAATTATCCTTGAAAAAAAAAACCTTGGAGAAAATAAACTTTGAAAAAAACACACGATTCTTATATATACAGGCTTTTTCTATGAGTAGCATCTCAGATTAAACCAAAATAGAACAAAGTGATCTTATAGGTAATATTTAGCGGAGTAAGTTATTAGTAATATATATATAAAAATGACCTTAAGTCATTGATTGTTAAAGGTAATAAGTGCCATGCCCATGGTTATACAAATGAGCACATTCATTATGAAACACTTTCATTAGACGGCACCATTTTGTACCTGGAAAAAGTCTGCACGAAGCAACCAGAGTTGCATTATTTTAGATTAAGAGATAAAGTTATTTCTAACCCTTGTGTGTTGTGTGGTAACCTCGTGTTAACAGGGTTGAACCATAACTTTAGGAAAAAATTGTATCCATATAAGCACTATATGTGTAAAACCATTAAATTATTTTTTTTAAATAACCATTTGAGACACAGCTGTATCTTACGTAAGGCACCCAACTTGTTTTGCTGGTATAGGTTGCATTTAGACATGTGTTGTCGTCCTCCATTGTGATCCCAAGCCCCTTTAGTACAACTAGCCTGAGCAAAAACAAAATGGGGCCCACAAACACACACTGGCTGGGTCAGTGTGTGTACCTACCTGATAGCTAAAACATGTTATTGGGGGTTACAAGTAAAATACATGACTGATGCCTGATGAAGTTTTAGAAAAACAAGAACAATCAACAATACTGTATTTAGTTTCATTAAACAAGGCAGCAGCTGTAGAGCTGATATTAATTTAAAAAATGAATTTATTTACACTCAGTTTTAATACTACTCTACTAAGCGTTTGGATGAATTCTAAATTATTTTCTGTGCTCTTTGATGGTTACATTTATTGGTAGCCTTTTCCTTTTCTAAACATTGTCTTAATAGAACACCTTCAACTTTTGGAGAATATTTATGTGACTTCCTGTGTGATAAGATGGCACAGAAACAGAACTCGTCTTAGGAAGATCATTGGTCAAAGCCCAAAGACCTTCTATAACTAAATACGTCTATCAGGAAGGTAACAAACACTTCCACACGGAAAACTAAAGCTGGTTGAGCTCATGTAAGCTCGACACAGCCTGTTGTTTGCTAAACTATAGCTGACTTGAGGAAATCTTCAAGTCAACACTACTAGAAGGAAGTTTATTTTTTGTGTGTTTTATTGTATTTATGGATATTGCATAACAGTAAAATTGCGTAATTTGACGCCTCTGACGCAAAGAACAGTGTTTAATAGTGGCATTATTTTTATGGAGTGTGTTAGCATAAAATATGTCAAAATTACGACATGCAAAGATTCGGTGTTACTCTAGGTGAATGACGGGGTTTTATAATATATTTTATTCTTCTTTAAAATCAACCAAGCAGAAAGAGAATTTGATATTTTCCCAATAAATAAATTAGGTTAATGATTTTTTTAAAATTATTATTTATTTTTGCTGTATCCGCGCGCCGCCATCTTAATAAATCCCCTAAGCCAATCAGCTTTGACGGCATCTTTAGGCTTAATATTTTAAATTTAATTATGGTGCTAAACGCTGACTCTTTGTGGCAGTTAATTATTTAAGATACCATGTGAAGGTTTGCGCCTTTGCTTAGAATTACTTTATAAAATACGTTTGTCTTGTTTTTAGAGGTATTTACACCACGCTACAATGAAGGGACCGGCGGAGTTGTCCAACGGGAGAAGATTGCCCATTGGCTACTGGAGCTCTACTGCTTTGCTGAAAGTGCGACGTCATAGCCCCGGAGCACGGATGTGTGTGTGTGTGTGAGTGAGTGAGTGGGGCAGTGAGGATTGTGTGTGTGTGTGTGTGTATGTGACTCACAGAGGGTGAGAATGGAGATGAGATCGAAAAGGTTGAAGAAGTAAAGGAAACCCACAGGAAGAGAGGCGAAGTGTCACGCCTTTTTACAGTAAAACCCGGGAAGCAATCAACGCAACTTGCACAGAGTTGTACGTACCGGCTCGCCGACCGGGGAGCGCGAGGTGAGAGAAAAGGGGAAATAGTAAGAACAACCATAATGAGCTCGTGGATGGCGCTGGACTCCCGCTTTCCTCGCTCTGGCGGGTCGGGAATCACGCGCCATTGGAGGGGGTGATACACACCGTGCATGCGCGTTTGGCTCACAGTGGCGTGCACGGGTCGGTCGATGCGAGCACAGCGGCGTGGCTTTCGGCCTCCATTTGCCAGTTTGTGTTTATGTTCGAGGAATTTACCGAGGCTCGTATTGGCGGCCAAGGCGACACGCAACAGTTGGGGTTTCGCCGCAGACGTCATTGTTGCACGGTGCTTGTTTGACACGAGGTATCGGTGCTGCGCTGGGAGGTGAGGTTTTGACGGAACGTGCAACTTTTCCAACTCTGTGAGCGGCGGAGCGGGCGGCCTTCCTCCCCGCAGCAGCGTGTGAGAAAGAAAGCGCTGTTGTTTAACTACTGATATTAAAAGCCCGACTTCTTCTTTTTTTAACGGAAAAATACTAACCCCAATATAATTCGTGAGTAAATGTCGTAACCAAGATGGTAGTAACCTGTGTAATCATGTCTTTGCCTTTATTAACACCTTTATTGTGGAGCATTTGCCTGCTGGTGTGATTACACCAGTGTTGGGGGCAGGATAACAACAAGAGCAGGTCACTTTTCTGCTTGATGACTGCCGTTCACGAAGGTGATTTTATTTTATTTATTTATTTTATTTATTTTATTTATTTTTTACGGAATAAAAACAGGCCCGCGTTTTAGCTACGGACTTAGCAGGGTGCCATCAACCAGCCGATTGGTTGGCCAAATAAAATACTTTTTGTTGTCTATTTTAAAGTCTGAAATTTTCGGAATGTAAAAAATAAGTTGTCATTGGACACTTAAAGTATTTATTTCACATCCGGTTGATGGATTTTAATGTAAATATTGTAAATGAAAATGTCGCCGTCGCGTGAAACTCGTGGCCAAATGGACTAAGCCTAGCATCAGAACTAGGTTAAGTTCATTTCCTATATGTTAGCTGTTTTACAAATACATCTTTCACAAATCAAATGGTAGAACTAGTCAACACTGGCTGGTCCCAGAGGAACCCATAGTTTTAACTTTGTCGCCGTACAGTATTTTCCGATGGTGTGAACTAGTCTCTTGTAATGGCTTTGCTGATATGAATGAGTTTTAAAACTTGCAGTTTGAATATTTTTTCTTGTGGGAACACAGCATCTCCAGTTTTGTGCTTAGTTTTCGGGTGTAATGTCTGCACTCCTTGGCTGTTGGGTTAGCCCTATCTACTTTGTCGTCCACCAACTACCCACCTTGTAGTTAACATTGGCTTATCATGGTAGGGTTGCTTAAGGTTTCTTGAGCTAGTTTCAGTACCTTGCACATTCTTTGTTGCAATTGAGCTTTTCTGCATTTTGCCACAAACGTATGCAATGCATGTCAATGCTTTGTCGAACCAGCTTTTGCTGCAATTGTAGCAGCCAGTCTTAAAACGGTTTCTCTCTAAAGGCTTTGTACTCCGAGAAACTAAACTGTTCTTCAATGCCAGTCAGATTAGACGGAGAGCATCTTGGGACATTAGTCTCCATGGCTTAGCACAAATTTTGAATGTTATTTTGGATTTGGGGTTGGCCATGCTAGCAACTCCATTGATGCTCAGGATGAATGTTTAGGATCGATAACCTTGTTGAAAAATAAAACCTCCTTTCCTGCTGAAGTAAGCATTCCCACAGCATGATGCTACTGTCGCCATGTTTCACAGTGAAGATGGTGTGTTCAGGGTGATGCATTTCTCATCTATTTTGGACTCATTTGCATATGGTCTCATTTGTAAAACAGAAAAAGCACAACCCCTAAGTTTGACCCCTAATTTATTATCATATCATATTTCAGGTTAACTTGGGAAATGTGAATGTTTAGTTTGTCAATATGTCCTTCTGCATTTAGATTTTTTTTTTTATTAGAAGCCTTATCCCTGCCTAATTTTATGTATTTGTGCTGTTGTGAAAACAAGCATTGTGACTTTAGTGTAATATTTTATTCAAAATTTAAATTTCTATTTAACACTGAAACAAATGTATTGAAACTCCGTAACCATACTTTGGCTTCTTCTTTGCTATCCCCAGTTTTTAAACCGCAGCCAGATGCTGCTTCGTTTACAGGCGTCGGCCATATTTGGAGTTTTTGCGACACACTCTCCTCACCACTGTCTATTGACTGAGGTGACAGACAGACAGATTCTCCACCTGACTGTCACGTCTGTCTCTATTTCCAATAATGGTACGATTCCATATAATCAGGAACCGAAGATAAATGTACGCCACACTTTACTGGTTTCTCTTTTTCGTAAAAACTTTGAAAACCATCTTTTCCTGCTGTTCTATTAACTAAAATCATAATAAAACACATTGAAATTTGTTGTTGTCACCTGACAAATTGTGAAAACTATCAAGAAGTGTGTTTCCTGTCGCGTATGGATAACCTCTGAACAAAGCCATAATATTCCAGTGATTTTATTATCCTTGTTTTTTTTTTTGTTTTTTTTTTTCCAGGAGCCAGATGCAGTGTGATGATCAAAGCTGTTGGTGATGCCTGCCTCGGACTCTGAACTCGCAGCCATGGAGGTCAACCATGAATTGGAGGAAGAGGAGGGCAACTTGCCCGATGTTCCGCTCGCAGACCCCCCTGCTCCCGTTCCTACTTCTCCTCCCTCCTGTTTAACCACTGAAAAGCCCGATTTCGCCACCGACGCCACAATGGAGGGCAAAGCCATCTCCGTGGCAAGCAATGAATGTAGTTCGACTCTTTCTTCACCTGCTGAAGCTAAGCCTGCTGTTACACCCCCTCCAATACTTGAACAGACTTTCGACCAAAGCCCTGCTACCTCGAAGATACTGTCTGCAACAGACCCCCTAAAAAGCCCTGGAGCAAGCCTGCTTTCCATTTCCGATCCTCCACCATGGGTTCCCACGTTGCCGCCTTCCGTGTTCGGCTGCCAAGACCAAGAAGAAGATTTCCCCGCTGTGCTCACCTTCAAGGGTGTTTCTGTCACGTTGGAGAACAACACCATATGGAAGCAGTTCTGCCAGTGTGGAACCGAGATGATTCTCACTAAGCAGGGTCGCCGCATGTTCCCCTACTGCCGCTATCGCCTGGCCGGTCTGGACCCTAATCGGATGTACAGCCTCGTCCTGTCCATCGTTCCGTCAAGCCCATTCAGGTATCGGTGGAACACGTCCAGATGGGAGGCCAACGGGCCGACGGAGCACCAGTCTCAGGGCCTGATCCGAGCCTTTCCCCACCACTACTCGCCCTGCCTGGGCTCAGACTGGATGAGCTGCTTGGTGTCGTTCTATAAGCTCAAGCTGACGAATTGCTTCCAAGATCAAGAGGGTCACATGATCCTGCACTCCATGCATCGCTACATTCCTAGGCTTCACATCATTCCGGTTCTGGACGGGGCGACGCCGACAGTCGACAAACCCGTCGTCATGGGACCCGAGAGCATCACCTTCACGTTCCCGCAAACGGAATTCATGGCGGTGACAACTTACCAGAACTTTCGGATCACGCAGCTGAAGATCAACCATAACCCTTTTGCCAAGGGCTTTAGGGAGGACGGGAACAACTCCCGCCTTCAGAGAATCCATCCACCTGCTGAGAGTCCAGAGACCCGAACGAAGCTCCTGAAACCTGCTGAACCCGCTGAGCAACAGGAGGAGGTGATGGATCTGAGGTGAGTTGGCACGGCTCCTCCTGTTATTTCTATTTGTTATTAAACATTTTAGACTACTGAAAATGTTTAGAAGAAAAACAGTCTACATGTTTGTGTAAGTGAAAGAGAAGTGACAATTATAATTCAACTCAAGGAATAGGAGTCGATTACATATTATTTTTGTGTGTGTGTGTAATTTTGTGTGTTTATTTTTAATTTGGTATGACTTGTGTATACCTTCATTATCTGTTTTGCTTATGGTTTATTCTGAGGACACAAACATAATTACATGTTAAAGTGACACAATACACCTCTGGAGTTGTTCACAATCCATTAATAATGAGAAGAAGAAGTTAGGGGTAGGCCTAACCCCATGTTTAATAAAATGTTTCAGAAGAAAAAGTGTCAGTTTTGGACATATGTAATCCACTGAATGGGAGGAAATGTAGTTATGATGATGTTTTTCACTGTTTTTGTAAAACCAAGTTTGACTGAAGAGAGTTTCACCCACTATTGTTTAATTTTGTAAACTTATTTTCATGCACTTTTGAGTGTAGTACAAATCAAATAATGCAATTTGATTCCTAAATGGGGACAGTCCTGCCTTTATTTCATTTTACGTTTGATTTTTCTATAGTTGGATTCAAAATCGCAGCTTCTATCAGAGAACCTGTCTTTGGATTTCAAATGTTAAAAAACTGGCCTGATCAGTGCATCGCTACAATATATTGAAATGGTGTTGGATGGCTGTCTTATTAGGTAGTAATCGTACAAGTTGTACCTTAAAATACGGCAGCTTATTCTTGCTCTGAGGAACAAGCAATAGCTTCCACTAACAACAATCTGATGCTGAAACTAATTGCTGTGCAGTAGAAAGTGTTGTGATGGTTATTCCACCTGCTTAGTTAACTGAAAGATTAGATAACCATAGCAGATTTTAATCCATTATAACTACAGTCTGGAATGTACTGACAAAACTAGGGACACCTGCATGTCGCATGCTATTAAAGACTTAAAATATTTCATCACATATGTACCAAAAACCTTGGCAGTTTTAGACTTAATGGTAATCTTTTAATTGGGAGTTTAATGTTGAAAGTGCTCGATGATTTGCAGTGGGTACAACTAATGAAAAATAACAAATCAAGAAAAGGTGGCAGTGAAATTTTCTAAACCCGTTCAAACAGCTTCATAACATGTAATTGTATGTGGACATAGTCAGCGTTCATCAATAGTTTCCCCATCATACTTTGCAGGTGTCGTCAACCTGCAGCCAACCCTTTGAACGCATGGCTCGGGTCATTTTACGTACCGTTTTATTTGCATGGTGTTCATAACCATCTCTTTATTTGTGTAGCGCAAAGAGTCAGGATCCTTCCTCTTCATCTGCAAATGCACAAGAGACCAGACTGGTGCTGAAGCCTATAATGTCCCAACCAGTTGGCGTTGGTGATGCATATGTGCCCTGCATCCGGGGCAAACATGCCCTGGGTGAGATCGTTCTCCTCCAGAACCAGTCTGCTGTTGAACCCAAGAAAGACGACACGGCCATTGTTCTTCTGAAGGCAAACTCAGGCTTGAGGAGGCCGCCCAAAGCAAGACCCAATAAGTCCAGCTCCTCAACGGGAACCCCGGTACGATCGATTGGGTTTCGCAAGAGGAGAAGGAGGAAGATCAGGAGTCGTTGGACGATGTACTATGCAAGGACTTGGAGAAGGGCGGCTGCGGCTGCCAAACCGGCCCACAGCCCGTCATTGACTCTGGCCATGCAGCCAGAACTGGACGAAATAGAAGGCCTGCTGTTTGTGTCGTTCACATCGAAGGTAAAACTGCTAATAGGCGCGTGTTTAGAAAGAGTAGACAGTGAGGAGATATTAGCTTGTTGGGTTAAGATTATTCTCCTGAAGGCTTAATTATTTTATTTGACAGGAAGCTCTTGAGGTTCACGTCAAAGACAAGCTATCAAACGCCTCATCATCAGAAGCCGCCGTTTCCACAGCAGAGCCGATGGAGACGGGTAAGGAATTGAGCAAGCTTTTTTTTTTTTTTTTTTTACCTATGCAAGAAATGTATGACTTGCTTGTGTAAATGCACTTTTT